CAATGATGCTGAGATATTTGCAAAACTCCGGACCGCAGGTGTATGCGGTGGGGAACGAACGCGCTATTCTCCTTTCCGGGGAGTAGCGCGTCCACCACCACACCACGCGGGTCCTTGAATTCGCCTGTCTCTCAGCTAGTTCTATCGATCTTTTGCCATCAGCAATCACCCGTCAGCGGGAAGGACCCGCGTGGTGTGGTGGTGGACGCGCTACTCCCCGGAAAGCACAATAGCACGTTCGTTCCCCACCGCATACACCTGCGGTCCGGAGTTTTGCAAATATCTCAGCATCATTGCAGTTATATTTCACAATGTATACCTTGCCGTTAAAAGGAGTAGGCAGTAAATAATAAGTTAAAATTGTGAAAATTTGTTATTTGGGAGGTATTAAGAATAAAGAACAAAATATTCGGTGTTGGAAAATTCTATTAGGATTGCGCTATGCTTTCGAATGCATTTGTAACATCGTAGAGGCGTTCGAGCCTATATTTGGCCTGTGCAGTGACTTGCAGATGACTACCGATTCATCAAAATCCAGGTTTTTTTTTCCTCCAAGACTAGTCTATTACCGATGTGCCGACTCTAGAGAGATAATAGGGTTGCTTTGCTCGGGTCGAGCAGCAACTGATGACCACGTTTGTATTCTAGGACACCTCTAATCAGTGAGCTCACTTTTCTACACTAGAAAACATATTTAACCAAAAGGAGTGTGAATTATAGAAAACTATGGGGAACAATCATAGACTTTTTAGATCATCACTAGGTATCTGACAGAGTGCAGTAATAAGGATCGCCTTGTTCTCATCGCCCTAGAGCATTTCATCCACTTGGTCCTCTTCGGGGATGAGCTATGCCTTGAGGCTATCCAGGTATTTTTGAAATCCACCTAGGTTTAGTTTTTGTGAACTTGCTTTACTATCTCTATATGCTCGCTCTACTGTGATATCAATACGTGATCGATTTGTGAAAAGAAGAATAACAAAACTGAAAAATTCCTTTCTGTTCCCACGCCGTGGAGTAGCAGAATTCCCGAAAATTTCAGATTTTGCCTCTAAGAGAAGTTAATTCTTGCAAAAAATACCAAGTAATTTGATGTTCTCAGTGAAGATATTGCATATTATAGCGATAGGAAGCGCTTTCAGTGTGGTGGGTTGAATTCAGTGCTGAAGCTGGTGAGACAGCCTTCAACACCGTCCGACACACGCCAGCTGCTACTCAGGGCACTTGCAGTTCTTTGTGGAGTGTCGAAAGGCTGTCTGACATTGCTCGCGGTTGGTCATTACTTTTTTCTTTAAGCGCGATTTTATTCGAAATACAAATGCTACGATGCTGAGATAATCGTAAAATTGCAGCGTTAGGTAGAAACCAACTGAGAGACACGCAAAGCGAGGGCCTCTCAAGTGGTGAAGTGTGTAATATGCGAGCCCCCGGAAAGCGTAGTCGTGGTTCAATCTGGCTCGGGGTCCAAGTTTTGCGAATATCTCAGCATTATTGTGGTTATATTTCACATCATACCCTGCCGTGAAAAATTATAGTAGATAGCAGATAAAAGGTTAACATTTATTCGAAATGTCACAAGTATGACTATTATAGTTTTCTTCGACAAATTCTTTATATTTCTGCAGGCTTTCTGGCAGAAACCTGGTGCACTTCAGGGTATTGATAGTTCTCTTAGTTGATTGAGCAGTTTTGCATATTAAATCAATAGCGAAATATGATCCTCCAATTTTAGATCGTTTTTAAAACGATTTTTCATCACGCCAATTTCTTATTTACTTCCTACTACAATTTTTCGTAGCAGGGTATTATCTGAAATACAACTACAATGATGCTGAGAGATCTGTTTGTATGATCTTATAAACTGATCTTCTTAAGCAGATGCGAGGTTGGTATAGGTTTTCGTTGTCGTTGTCGTTGTTGTTGGTGTTGTTGATCGACGGCTGACGTTTCGGCGACTTCGCCTTCCTCAGAGCCTGGACGTATTTTATATTAGAATACTTTTTATTATTCGGTAGAAAAACGCTAAGGTATTAATGAAGGTCAAACTTTTAAATAGATGCCATCTTGATCAAAAAGGCGTCTCACGGTGATGTTACGTGTGGGACTGGCCCACGCGTGGTTCACGTGGGTCGTAAGCAGGACACACCCCGGAGTCAAAATATCATTTTAAAGTAGCGCGCCAGGTCACGCGTGATAGTGAGGCATTCGTCCTTCCGGTTCATCTTTGGATTTTTGAAATTTATCCAAAACGCCTCAAGAGTTTTGCGCGTTGATGTTTTTGATTCCTGCGCTAGGATCCGCACCGTCACTTCAAAATCATCGCCATTGTGCTTTTGTTCCCTATGCGTACCTGGAGGAGTGTTCTGACGGGCCTTAACTTTCCCATCTAGATGTTTCTTTATGTGGATACAAAGTGGTCTACTCGTTTTCCCAATATATTGCTCACTTTGAACCCTGGCTGTGTCTTGCTCGCAAACCCACGTGAACAACGCGTGGACCAGTCCCACTCGTAACATTACGGTGAGTAGCCTTTCTGATCAATATGGCGTCTATTTAAAAGTTCATTAATACTTTAGCCTTTTCCCACCGAATAATTAAAGTATTCTTGTACAAAATACGTCCAGGCTCTGAGGAAGGCGAAATCGCCGAAACGTCAGCCATCGACCAACAACACCAACAACAACGACAACTACAACGAAGACCTGTACCAACCTCGCACTAGCTTAAGAAGATCAGTTTATAAGATCATGTAAATAAATATATTAACTATCTATGCCGAGGGTTATAGAAGGTCGGCCTTTTGAGTTATTAGTTAAGAGATGCTGAGATATTTGCAAAAAGCCGGACCACAGGTGTCTGCGATGAGGAAAAGTGTAATAGCGTGTTCGATCCCCACCACAGACACCTGCGGTCCGGAGTTTTGCAAAAATCTCAGCATTACATGGGCCCGTGTGGATCCGTGGTCGGAGGCGCCCCACAATACACATGGGATCGATCCCCACGCCCCTGGCCCACCAAGCCTTCCATCCCTCCGGAGTCAGCAAATTGGTGCCGGACTTGTCTGAAGTGTACTCATAAAGCAACCTCCCAATACAACCTCCCAATGGGTTATCGTTTCATAGCAAACATTTAGAAACACTGGTTCGATACATCGGTAGTCCACCGCAAGTTATTGTAAAGGCCAGATATGCATCCAGTCACCTTCAAACGGTGTTTAATGAAGTCGAATGCAAGGCGCATCCCTAAGCGATTGATCAACGCTGAGAGCCTTACTATTTATCATTGTAGTTGTACTTCACGATTTCTCATCTTTCTCAAATTTATAGCAATGAAACAAATATGTGAGAAACTCAGCCGCGTCCAACAACTTTTGATGTAGCCTTCGAAGTATATTCATAGGGCAAGCTCCCAATGGGTTATCGCTTCGTAGTACCTGCTCATGTTCTTAGGCAACGAATTACGATTCGTCGTGCTCCTTATTGTGGTTGATCTGCTGAATGATTGTGACACCCAGTTTTTCCTCAAACCCCAAAGTATCCATACCATGTGCTCTTGGATCTTAGTAGCTGGAAGTCGTTTTTGATAGGATAGACGACTACGACCTTGCGAGTGTGATTCATTGTGAACATTACTGATTCTCGTGGCAGGTGCCACTTCGGCGATTAGCCCTTCGACCGACCGAGCTTTTCTCGACCGACTGATGCTACATTTTATATGTAGAATTTTCTGAATGTGTTGTATACCCTTTCTCGTCTTATGAGAGGTTCTTCCTTTCTGTAGTAATTTTTGGCACATGTTTCTGGAGTGCTTCATCAACAATGGTTGGGCACTGTAGAACTATCAAAACTGAAAGCAGTAGTACGACATATGATTGGTATTGCAGCTGGGAGGACAAGAAGTTGTCCTATCTCATCTCGCAAGCAGCTCCATCCCTTCTTCGATCGAAGCAGCCGGAGTGCTCACACAGCTCACAAGCCCTCAACGCACTTTCATACAGCTCCAAAATCTCGATTCGGTTCTTATCAGACTGCTTGGTAAGCTTTATTCTAAAAGAAAATTTGCTGTCTTTCTCTATCAGCACGCCAGTAAAAAAGGTGCTATTATCCTACATTTCTTGTTCATTTTCCAAGATTTAGACGTACAAATAGTTTGCAAATGCGCATGTTTTCAAAATTAGATAAGGGCGTTACACCTTTCATTTCTCTGCTGAAAAGCGCCTGAATTTATAGGATTATTCCAGACCTCGTCGACATATGTAACACCGGAGAAACATTGCTTTTGGTGTCAGCCGCGTTGGCAAACACTTCGCTGCAGGATCCATGTGCGATTGACCTACTCTACAGGTAGGTTACTTCCTTGGATTCGTTATTGAGCCCACTACTCTGTTCTCTGAAGGCAGAACGCTATTGTCCGACTAATAAATGCTTTCAATCGCCACGATTGTTCTACGATATTTGTGCAGGAGCAGGTGAGACAGCATCTAGTGTGAATTCACCTCTGGTCATTGTGACTCGTTTCTATAGATAGTGACAATACTTTGCCGACTGGCTGCTCGTCGTTACGAAGAAGCGATCATTTCCCAGGGTGCTGTTCCTGTGCTACTTGAGATGCTTACGGTAACCGACGGCAACCATTCCGACTACTGTAAAAGGATTCGCTATAAGGTAGGAACATATTAGTTTACCGACGAATATATGTTACTGCAAAAAAGTGCGTGTACATACCAGGAACGGTCTATCCGTCTCCTTATATCCCAAAAGTTGAACGTTCTCATCTTATCTCATTAATAAAGAGCTTTTTCCCACATTCCCTAACTTTCAGGCAGCAGTCTGTATCGGGACGTTAGCCGCCACAGGCATCGGACTTCAATCGTTGTATGTCAATAAAGGTAGTTTTAACACCGCATTCTTTTCCGTGTCACAAAGACTATCGAGTGTTACGGAGGAATAAAGGACAAAGTTCTTGGTGTTAATCAATTCCTGATGGATGCGTCACATATTCGAATTCATTAAGCATCGTTGGAGGTGACTGTGTATCATCTAGTCTATACAGTAACTCCAGTGACTTACCGATGCACCAAGTTAGTACTCCCAGATAAGCTGATACCCACTTGCCAACCCCAGGGATGGAAGGATTGGTGTGCCAAGGGCGCGGATATGGATTCCACGTGTGTGTTGCAAGGCGCCTCCAACCATTGCGCCACACACACCCCCTAGTTTATATAATTCTACAAAATTGAACAATTCTAAAAAGCCAGCCAAATCAACATTTCCAGGTTTCGCGATATTGACCTACGTCCTGGAGATGGAGAATTCACCAGCGAATCCGTTGAACATGATATGTACGAACATACGGAATCGACTCGAGATGAAATACCAGATTGAGAGCGCTGTCTAGTTATTCTTTACAACCTTTATCCATTGCCTCCTGTATGAAAACGATTACAACTGTTCTTCCTCTTCTTTGTGTTTTGGAACATATTTCTTCTTCGCTACTCCGCTCTTTATGATACAATAAGTGCCAGACTAAGATATTGCCTTTAGGCACTTACAAAGAAAAATTTCACTTAAACTGTCCTGTACAAAAAGTATATTGCTAGAACCGTATACAAATAAAGTTTTACGACACACCAAAACTGATATGTAATGGCGTTCAAAAAACGTATGTTCTTCAATGACAGGCCCTTGGATCGCCCCCAGCTGAAGCAAATCTTTTTATTCGATCCACCAAACTGTCGGATAGACCATGGTCTTTCTTCAGTTCTTCTAGCTCAGAGAAATCGGTGTATCCAGCGCAGTAGGCGTTAATCTGAACTGGTGAATGTTATGAAACTGAAAATGAAGATAAGAAATTCATTTTAGAAAGGCCTGAATTAAAAGCCCAACAACGCCAAGACCTTTCCATCACGTTACGTTATTATCATGAAGCCATGTCCCCACAAGGCTGCCAATCACGGACGGAAAGGTCTTTTGTAAACGTCGCTTCTCCCATACCTCTCAAAAGAAGGCTGTACAATAATATATAAATTCTTAGCTCCATAGTCACCACAAAATAGGCTTAGCACAATGAGCACAATGAGAATCTTGCAAAGCAGTTTCTCTAGTGACAATAACTTGCCATGAACGTGTGAAAAGGCTCCTACCTTAGTAGCGAGAATAGAGTTCGCGACTTGGCTATCGTTTAGTTTCAGCTGAAATACATCGATGAGGTACTAAATACGCAAAACATGGAGGACAGCATGACTAACTTCATCGAAGATATCCCTCTGATTTCGAAGCCAGTATTTCTGATGATAGTCCTCTGCCTGATAGAACTTATCTAACTTGACAACGTAGGTCTCGATGTCGCCATACTTGGACTAAAAATTATAATCGTTCATTAGTAATCCTGAATATTCAAAAGTAATTCATAAAGACAAAACTTCGCCCATTTATATGAATTTTCGGCAATCTTTTTTTCTTCATCAGTCTCATACAAAATTGCAGACTGGTATTGTTTCTTCCTTCGTTGCGCCGGATTGTGATGAGACCAGAAGAATTCGAGGACTTGCTCGTAGGAGATTATGGTAGGGTCGAATTGTACCTCAGTAATCTCTAAGAAGACCAATATCAGTAACTATAAATGAATGTGAGTGAGAACTTCGACGAACCGGTATGATCTCCAATATTTCCGTAAGTGGGATTGGCAGTTGTTCCACCGGCATATCCAACCCGTGTCTTTTTGATTCCTTTCACCTGAAATTCTACCGTAATCACAAACAAGTCTTCAAAAATAGATACTTTATCGACCGAATTTTCAACATTTCTTACTGTGATTGTTTGCATGTAACACGACTAGAGGTACCTTGCATGAGCGCTGGTCCGACCAAGTCGTATTGGAAAGGAAAGAGGTGTCCCATTATTCATTTTATGATAAGATAAAGGACAGGGCGCTCGCCGCCGATCTATTCTTGAGAGATATGCCATGATTCGATTCCTTTAAGCATCAAGGTGAGCAAATACATATTTTGTTCTACACGATATGTTAACTAGGTGTTCTTATCTAAGTCTGGCATCAATTTGCAGAATCAAGAGGGAATGGAGAATTGCTTAACGTGGATCGCTGAATCGAAAGAACGACCATGAGCATCACAGGGCAGCTCTAGTCACGTTTAACCCATAACGAACGGTATGGACATTCTCAAGATCGACTTTCTGTTAAGCTCGGCATTTATTGACAATTCGATGTTTTTCTTCAATAAGCAGACACGACGTTGTTATTACAGAATTTATTAGGATGCAATAGCCGACGTTTCGGCGGCTTCGCCTTTACAAAGCCTGGAAAGGCCAAATTGAGATGCGATCTACCCAGCCAAACACTTTCATAACCCCAGCAGATCAAGTATCTAAGTTAGTTGATGGATAGCATCCGCACAGCGTAATACATGGGCGAGGACTGTGTCTGCGTTAGGTCATTGGATTAGCCTGAGGTATGGCGCCAGGTCACGCGTGATGACAAGACACTCCTCCTTGCGGTTCATTTTTGAATTTTTGGAAGTGATCCAAAACGCTTCAAGAGTTTTACACGCTGATGTTTTCGATTCGTGCGTGAGGATAGTGACTCCTACTTCAAAATGTTCTCCGCTATGTTCCTGCATCCTATGCGCGCCTAGTGGAGTGTTTGCTTTTAATTTAGATCAACATGAAGGAGCAATTAACACGTATGGTTTTGTGATTCAGCAGCTTATGGTCCTCTTAAAGGTCTGTTTAAACTGCTCGATCTTCAGATGCTCCGGAAAATACTATGCGCAAATTAGAGGGTTGGCAATGGGACAGCGACTGGTACTAACCCTTCCCGTTGCCTTTATATCTAAAGTGCAAGCACCAGTAATCGATCTCAGGCCGTTACTCTACAGTAGGTATACAGATGATTGTTTTGTCATCCGCTCCACACAAGAGGAGGTGGATAAATGCTTTGAGTTATTGAATGAACAGTCAGAGTACATAAAATTCACCCGTGAGAAACCGAAAGAAAACTGTCTTCCATTTCTAAACGTTCAAATCAACCTATCCGAAAACGGCTACATCACAAAATGGTATCGAAAGCCAAGCAGTAAGAAAATAGCGGTTCATTACCGCTCCTCTCACCCCTCACACACTAAAATGGCGCTTATAAGAAATATGTTTCGAACCGCCGCCAGCGTTTGCACAGCTAGAGAGCAGAGGGAGGAATCCTCGAAACTGGCGCGCCAAATAGCCATTTCAAATGATTACAAAAACTGTAGCTTCTCGGCATAGGAAATGATGAAAAACCACGCCCCAGAGTGATAATTCTAGCGAAAACAAGGCTCCGTTTCTCTTGATCTTTATTTCAAACGAAATAAGTGCAGCTACAAAACGTTGCTTAACAAAAGCCGGTCTAGAGAATTCCGTAAGAGTGACAGAAATACCATCGGACCCTCTAAGACGCCAGCTAGTTGGCAACCGCCTATATGACCGTCTATGTATAACGAAAAACTGCGTAATTTGCTCTAACAGTATAGACGGTGACTGCATGAGTTCGGGTACAGTCTATCTGGTCTCTTGTAAAACATGCGGGGACGAATACGTTGGCGAAATGGGCAGACCCCTCCGTGTTCGCATAAAAGAACACCTAGCCGGAAAACATAAACCAAATACCCCGCTAGGCACGCATAGGACCCAAGGACATAACGGGGAGGACTTTGAAGTACGTGTCACGATCCTCGCGTAGGAATCAAGAAAACAAGCGCTCAAAACTCTCGAGGCGTTCTGGATTAATTTCAGAAATCCGAAAATGAACCACAGGTAGACCGCTCTGCGTTCGCTTAAAAGAACACCTAGTCGGTAAATATAAATTCAAACCAACCACTTCACTAGGCGCGCATAGGACGCAGGAACATAACGGAGATTTTGAAGTAGGAGTCAATATCCTCACAGACGAATCGAAAACGTCAGCGTGTAAAACTCTTGAAGCGTTTTGGACCACTTCCAAAAATTCAAAAATGAATCGCAAGTAGGAGTATCTTGTCATCACGCGTGACCTGGCGCCATACCTCAGGCTAATCCAATGACCTGACACAGGCACAGTCCTCGCCCATGTATTACTCCGTGCGGCTGCTATCCACCAAGTAGCTTAAATACTTACAACAAATAAACGGTAGGTGTAAATATTATCGTCTCCGTCTTCAGTCTAGGGCGTTCCAGAATTTATTATCGCACTATGCTGATTCTTTCGATTGCCAATCGACAACAAATCGAAATAGAATGAATGTGAACAGTAAACGCGCTCCCTACACCTAATGATTTACAAAGCTTTTCGAAAAAGTCCAAAGGCCGGTAATTTCACTACAAATTAACTGCTACTTCATCTTTATCGCCATAAAGAATCATGGTTGCTGTATGGTATGTGAAGATACAAAAAATACCGAAATAAAAATAAGCTGCAAGACCCTCACAAATGCTGACAGCGATGTTTGCATGATGGACCACAGAAACACATAGCAAACAGTAACGTGTGTACCACTGATACCCATAGAACGATAGAGCAAAGTTTCTTCTACAAGTTTGTCATGTTCACAACACCTACAGCACTCTAGTTATTGAAAAATTATTATTTTGTTCTCAAAAACCAGAAAGTCTGAAGCCGACGGAAAATTGCTCGCATTTCATTCGAAGCGTTATGGTAAATGGCGCACGTAGGTTATAGCTTAAATATGGTCGTGTGTAGCGTAGTGGTTCAGTGTGCCCTGCAATACACACAGAATCGATCCCGCGCCTCGGTCTCACCAAGTCTTCCACTCCTCGAGGTCGGCAAATTGTGCTAAACTAGTCTAGGATAATGGATAAACAATTACTTCATACATCGGTAAGACCTAGAAGGTGCTGTGCAGACCATTTATACATCGAAGTACCTCCAACGATGCTTAGTGAAGCGAAATGCAAGGCGCCCTCAAGGATCGATCAACGCCGGGAGCTTAATCGTCATCATACACGCTCAAATATGAAAAAAGCAGGTTGAAAACAAAAGTTAAACTTCAGTAGTTGATTGTTCGACATAATCTCTCAGCAATAAAGGATTGAAAGGTGATGGATTAACCACACCTTTGCAACATTGTAAAGGAACAGTTGAGTATATCCTGAAGAAATATATCTTCTTGAATGGTTTGCGCTAATTTGTAAATTCCCTTCAATAATCTGTGAGAGCCACACATGTAAGCTTCAGATGCTTCTTATCACATTGACGACCGTACAGAATAATTTTTAATAACTGGAATACTTGAAGAAAATTTGTAAAACGAACCGCCCATCTCTTTGTTAGCACACAAAGGTATTTTACTCACGTCCTACTTTTATCCAAAAATTTTAATGTAAGCTTAGTAAAAAGTCGCCTGCATCACCTTTATTGCCGATGATCATCGAGTAATTCACGATAACGCCAGCAGCTCTTTCATTCATCTCCGTAAAGCACCAGATTTGCTCAGTTGGCGTTGTTTTTCAGTGGACAGGATGAACACCAAATTTTTTTGTATGAGCGCATTCATTTTTGATTCCATGATGAAGCAGCCACGGACAGCTCAATGGGCTCTGCGCTGTCGTACACTTATTTGTACAAGCACAAAAGGATCTGCTCACGTGACTCTGCTGCAGGAACGAGTCCAAGCTGTACATCGAAGCAGACCCTCACGAATACCCACTAACCACGGCGAGGGGTGAATCATTCGTAGAAATAAGACTTTAACAACGTAAACTCTAAAATACCAGTATTAATCGCTTTTTCAATAGTCTTCTGATCCACGACGAACAATGGCGAGGAAAAAATGAAGGAAAAAAAACATGTGGATGGCCCGCAATGACAACACTAAATCCTAACAATCGTAAACAAACATTGAACTTGTAGCTCGCTGGTACTGACGTAAGTGTCTACATGGCTATTATTCCGATTAATGAAAACTAGAACCCAATACCAAGATCCATCACCGTCCTGATATCAAACTAGGCGCATGGTGCCAAATCTCCCTCTGATCCACAACGACATGGGGCAGACTTTGGTCTGGACTACAGAAAACCACAATGGCTAAACCAGCGAAACTCCCAAAAAGTGGAAATTATGCTGAGGCCCGCACAACCGGCAAAGACGGGTCATCCAAGTATCCAAGTAAGGTATGAAAACCTGTATGGATTGACAAACGCGTTCCATCAGATCGAAATCACATCGTGTATTGACAGAGTTTGGAAACATGAAAAACGTATTGTTGGGCCACTGGCTTTCACAACGTCGCCAAAGTATCGTACGAAGAACATCTCGAAGGATTTTGTCATTTAAAAGATCATATTGGGAGGACAAAAATAAGTGACGTGAAAAGTTTGCACAAGTGATTTCGTTCTAATAAAGAGTGTTGAACTTTTTAACGAATAAACTTACCTTGGCGAAAGCTGACTCTCCCCAGAAACATTGCATTCCAAGGTAAGCACGGGCCAGCAACATTCTGAAGAACAAGCAAGATAAATGGCGACCATCGACGACAAACACCAGCGAGAAACCACACTGAATGGGAGTGAGACGACCAGGATCAGGTCCAAGCTGGACGGGCAACACCAGCCGGCGAGGGTTCGTCACCGCTCGGACGACGGCATTGCCGAGTCCACGACCTGGCCGCGGCGCAACTCTGCGGATTGGAGCAGCACTGCTTATACCCGCCCGAAGATGTTCAATACTGTCGTAGTACCGCGACGCGTCCCATTGTCAGAATTTGTTTCTATCGCATCCGAGAAATCCACAGTCTTTTTTTTCTCGAAAGAGCGTCAATTCACTACTTGTCTAATTACCTCTGGATCGCCCTACCTTACCATTAAAACAATTTTACGCTTGCTCGTTGCGAGGACTTTTCCTGTTGGTCCTCTGGGAATAAGCACGAAAATTTCGGTGACTCATAGTGTGCACGTAATCACGGACAGCACTCGTCGGAATTTGTAGAGCCGTTGCGAAATTACTCAATGGTTTCTAAATATAACTCTTTTTGAGTTGTTTGTATTGCTTTTTTAGCATGGGATTTAAGCATCCGACACTTTGCATTTCGCAGACTTTGTCATTTATTCGCTGCCATACATCCGTGTTAAATTCTCGTTTGGTCGTGGATTTGCTCTCTTCGCTTGTTTCCTATTCGGATGAGTGTTTGATTTTTCCCGTTGTATTTAGATGAAGAACATTGTTCTTTGGTGGTTTTTATCATGATACGTAATTTAATTAAGAGATTGGAGAGCGTGTGGCGCAGTGGTCGGAGGCGCACTGCAGTACGGGATCGATCCTCGCATCCCAGGCTCACAAAGCCCTTCATCCCTCCGGGGTCAGCAAATTGTTGTCAGATTTGTCTGGAAGGATAAGAGCTCTGGTTCGACACATGGGTAGGCCACCACGAGTTGTAATGGCCATTCAGTCACCTCAAACGATAGTCGGTGAAATCGAATGCATGGCCATACCTCATGAATTGGCCAACGCCAAGTACTTTGTCCTTTTATTAATGTTCTATTCAATCAATAACTCGTTGTTTATGACATTAGGACGTACTGTGCTCTTTTGTGACGACTTTATCTTCCATGGTTTGGCTGCTTCAATGTAAAGTGTATCTCTACCCTAGTACCTAGCCTTCTTATTTTTTATCGTTCTTTCTCCATTTACGGTAGAACTGTATTGTATTGCAGTATTACTGCAACCAAACGCTTCTGTTTCTTGACACATGTTGTTTGCCGCAGTGCTACGAGCTAGGAATCCAATATTCAACCGGTTATGCCAACTTCGAAGTCTTTCTACAGTACCGACTACTACTCAGGCAGCATCTGGTGAATAGAAAACTCTGACTCATAAGTTCTTGAGGTGCTGGTTAGTTGGAGGACTTTTTTCAAAACTTTTTCAGATGTGCAGAGCCAACAGGGTAGTGACATGTTGGAGACGATTGATATCGAGGATCTCCCACGAGCTCAGAAACGATTCGCTAAGCAATTTGAGAAGGTGAAGTTTTTACTCAGCATCAGTTTATCATCAAGAGAAGTAGAATTTATGGTTCATCACGTAGACTTTATGAGAAGAGAACCTTGGCATAGAGGCATGTAGCCAGCACTCGTCGACACAACGACAACTTTTCTGAATTGCAAGAGAGTGCAGTATGTGGTTCGTGTTTGAAGTCAAAAGTTTCAGCTTTCAAGTGAATTTTGTAATAGAAAGTGCTCGACGTCGTTTACTGTCTGCTTGCGGTTCAATCAATTCTAATGAAATTTGTAAGCACAAAAGTGCTTCAGTGTTTCAGGAAGCATTAAAGCCTTAGTAATGTGGTCAACGAGCAATTATTTACTACCTTCCTCACAGCATCTGCAATCCTAAGATTGATCGTTCTAAACTTATGTCTTTATATCCTACGAAATTCTATAAGGGCACGTGTGGCGCAGTGATCGGAGGGGCCTGCAACACACATGGGATCGATCCCCGCGCCCCAGGCTCACCATATGTTCCATCCTCCAGGGTCGGCAAATTGCTACCGGACTTGTCTGGGAGGATAGCAGCATTGGCTGGATACGTCGGTAAACCACTGCAAGTCATTCTAAAGGTCATGCATTCGGTCACTTCCAACGATGCTTAATGAAGTCGAATGCATGGCGCGTCCCTCAGTGATTTACCAACGTTGAGAGCTTTATCCATTTTATTATCTACGAAGTTCTATGGTCGCAGCGAGTGATCTGTAACTCATTGAAAACATGGAACCTGACTGTCGAATATTCCGTGTTCCTGTGGGAGAGTGTAAATCCATGTTACACTGCACTAATTGTTTATCATTCTTTATATAGGAACATGGAAACGTATTCTGTATGTGCCTCCACTAATGCAATAGCATATAAAACATTAATATTTGAAATAAAACCACGACTATACTGAGGTACAACCACAATGATGGTGAGATATTTGCAAAACTGAGGACCGCTGGTGTCTGCAGTGGGGAACGAACCCGATATTACCGCTTCGAGTGTTAACGTGTTCACCACCATAACATGCGGTTCATTCGTTTCGTCTGTCTCTCAGCTAGTTCTATTGATCAGTGCCATCTGCAATCACTCGTCAACGGGATTGATCTAGGCAGCTCAAATCGGCATTGAACCCAGTTAGGCTGAGGGCGTAGTTGAAATGACAATATCAACCTTTTATTTGCTGCCTACTACAATTTTCATGACGGGGTTAGCGCCCGGAAAGGTAATAGCGTGTTTGTTCCCCACCGCTGACACTTGGGGTCCAGAGTTTAGGAAATATCTCAGCGTCATTGTGGGTATACTTCACATCATACGCTGTCATGAATAAAAAAATAGGTAATAAATAAAAGGTGACTACATTGTGATTCACATTTGAGCTGTTTTTGGTCTTGAATTGGAGCTCCGTAGCGGAGATTTCAAAAGATGTGTACATCGTACCTGTCATACAATTGAAGTTCGTGAAATCCGAGTATGCGTGAATTGAGTGTTTCCATCCGTGCGTGGAAATTGCGATGGGATATTTGAACCTTTCTAAAGGAAGAAATCACATGCATACCTTCATGGGTACTTGGACGGCCCATCGTCACGAGCACTGGGACATCCAGCACATTTTCCATTAGTTTCTTAGCCTCTCGATCGTCGTTGGTGGTGGTATCCTATCGTTATCTGTAAAGCGTTTGAAACAGCTTATTAATTTCAGCTACAAACATTTCCATCCATCATGTAAGTGTTTATCCCAGAGAGTACTCTGATCCTCTTAGAGTACGCTCTGCAGTTCTTTTCTTCAATCTGTCGTGTATTCTTCTCATTCGATGACCGGTCCATCCATTTCTCTATCGATGTGTAATCTCTAGAATTTTGAAAGTTGGATAAGTTTCGAAGTTCTGAACTGAGCATTACAGCTCTACGTTGCGAATAGTGGTTCAAAGTCAGAAGACTCTTCAAAAGATTCCTGGTACCTATCATTTGCGACATTGTTGAAGTATTAGTTCAAATTTGTGCTACATAATAACGCTGGAGGAACCCTGAAGTCGAAAAGGTGAGCACAGAGTTTCGGGTCCGTTAGTTTCTCCTCTGTGAGGTCCTGATCGCTACGCATGCTGCTTTCCTCCAGTGTAATTCCTCTTTTATTTTGGGCTCTATGTTCATTGGATGCTGAAGATAGTCGTACGAATGAGTGTGCATGATCGGAAAACCGTACAATTCGATTTGCTTAGCTTTGCAGCGTAAGTTTTATACGAACTCGGTTTTCTTCTGATTTATGCCTAGTTCAATTCGTCGTCTCTGCCTCAGTGGTACATCTCCGAACGATAACGTCATCAGCATAAGATGTAAGCTGACCTAACACGGAAACGGTTTACTAGCAAAATCACGGTATTCGCTTATATGTTTTGAATCTGCAAGAAAAAGTTCCTGTAACATATTGACACCCTTTAATTGAGAAACAAAATTCTAAATGAGCTCATGGTAAGGCCACTATGTTAAAACCAACCACATTTGATTTAATTCCTTTTGTTCTGTACTTCACAAGATCTCTCTCGCTGTGTTCATTGATTGAAAAGCAAGTGGATCCATGTGGTGGGCTTTTCTCATTCTTCTTTACTGAATTACACCATATCTTCTTGTTCTTCTCTATCTAAAAGTTCTATCCTACATCCTCATTTGTCCTAAACTACGTAAGCGGGTGATAAAGAACTATCATACAGGGGTAGAGGGGGAGACGATGCGAGATGGCTTCCAAAAAGGGAACACATCGTGTGTTACGAAAAACTGGATGAGCTGTCTATGGGTGTAACCGGTGCAGTAGAAATAAACTATTTCATGCAGCTACAATGATGCTGAGATGTTTGCAAAATTCCGGACCACAGGAGTCTGCGGCGGGGATCGAACCTCGTTATTACCCTTTCCGCGGAGTGACGTGTTCACCATCAGATAGAACGATCTTCAGTGTCATACAGAATTCTAAAAACCAACTTTCCTTTAGTGCCGATATGACTAATTAACATATATTCTTCCATTAATAAACTTACACGAGGTTGATAAATAAACTTCATTCGACTAACGTTTCGACGTCTTCGTCTTCCTCAGAGCCTTTGGTCAAGGGAAAATCAGTTTTTGAAATAATGTTAGGTTCTGTGCTATAAATGTTGAAGCGAAACCTTTGCCTCCTTGGAGCTGAAGTTTGCTGTAAAGCAGTATTGGATAGTAGAATTCTTTGTGCTTTCTTTCCAAATCAGCTCTTGTTTACGTATTTGCATTCTTTTAAAACAGGTGCTAAAGTTTCTTCCTGTCCCATGTTTTAACAAGTGATTTTTATTTTTATACGGGCTAGTCTTTCATGCTAAAAAGGGCTCGCGTAGCGCCGTGGTCGGAGGGGCCATGCAATGCACATGGGATCGATCTACTCGTCCGTGGTTCATCAAGCCTTCCATCTCTCCGGGGTCGGTAAATTGGTACCACACTGACTTGTCTGGGAGGATATCGGCACTGGCTTCATACATTGGTAGGCCACCGCGAGCCATTTTAAAGGCCAAATATGCATTCAGTCACTTCCAACGATACTTAATAAAGTCGAGTGTATGGTGCATTCCTCAGGGATTGACCAATGCCGAGAGCTTTATCATTTTTTATCCTTTACTACACGCTAAATCCACTTCAGCGTTTTATCTGTTCTTTTGCAGTAGTTTTTCCAACAATTTCCACTGAGCCGTCTAATTTAAACGAACAGTTGTGAGCAGTGTTGCATTACGCTTAAGAATAAGGAAGGCCATTGGTGTAGCTTCATCGTGCACATTCCCGTGGCTGGTACTCGTCGTGGTGACTGGGTACATCGATTTTTGTACTCTTATCACACCGTCCTGTGTTCCCAGTTGATTTCAACTGTGGCATATGTGCTTCGGTTCCACTGACTTATTGATTGATTGAGATAAGTGCGTTTTAGTTGGTGGAACTTGCATGATTATGTCTGGAAGATAAGGAAGAATTCTGTTGTTCTCTGAAGAACCACTTATATTCGAATCCCTTTCCATATGTATAGTTCGAATATAGTCTATCTTCTTTAATTTGCTTCGAAAGATGCGATGTTTTCTTAAATGCTTATGATTTACTGAACAGGTACTACGTAGTTTAGGTCAATGAGGAACGTGTGAAGGATATATTCGCTAAGAATTACAAAAATCACGCTGCTCTGGCTGTATTGATATGCGTCGTCGTCGGGATCTACTATTATACGATCCATGCTGTGAAACAAGAAACCTTCCTGGAAGAGATCGATGAGGAAGTTGCTGCTGAAAGACCAGAAACCCACGGACATTTGCATATTGCTGGGAAGTGAACTAGCTTCCCGTTTTAGAAATTCTTATCACCAGTGACGCCATTTTGTCCAAGTTTTTCACATCATATTCCGAACACCTAGTTCCTATCTCCTATTTTTTTTGTCATTGCAAACGTTTCTTTTTTAACTCGGAAATTTCCTCTGCCTTTCTATTTTCCATTTCGTGACAGTAGCAACTGTTGCAGTCATTGCTGTTGCAGTTCAATGTTGACAGATTGCTGTTTTTCGAGAGCCTCTACGCAACGTTTATGTTTCTTTTTTTTCGCAAATAAATGAAGAAATGTATTTCAGAAGGATCCTCACGAATGATGAGCACCGATGAGGTTCCACAGTTGCCACAGAGTTCGTCAATAAATCCTCTTCATGCTCTCCAAAACAAAGGCAACGTTCCTTCCAGTGACAGTGTGGAGTCAGTTAGAAAATCAATGAATAACCGAGTTGAAGAGAGCAGTTTCAATTCGGAAGAGGTACAGCAGTTTGTTTACAGTAGGCTTGTTGTTCTAGGTTACACTTCTAGATCTAGTAAGGCTAACGTGAAAGCACTGAAACTGTTAGGGTTAGACTAGAGGACGGCGTCATAGGGGAAAACGGACTGCAGTAAAAAATTCATTTTTGTTTTCTGTTGTAATTTATTCTTTAGTGCCAGGTGCCCTCCACGCCTTCGTCGACAGTTTTGGGTTCATCTGAGTTGTCGATAGCCAAAGAGGGAGCTGATACGAAAGAGGCTTGTTCAGTGGCTGCAGATGACGGAACGCGTTCACCTAGTTCTGACAAGCATAACGGGTCATCTGATACCAGAAAAGATGACTGCTCTGCTGCTGCTAGTTCAATACCAGTTCCAGTACCACCTACTCGCACAAAAAAGAAGAAGGTTGGTTATAGTGACTAGGCTGTTCCGGTTTTTGGGTTTTATCTTCTACTGTTCTTGTTTCAGGAATCTTTGCTTAAGAAAAAATTTCTTGTGTACTTATATTGTTGCGTATTACATGAACATGTAAATATTGTCGATAGTTTTGTTGAAGGATCCACGTTTCGTTGAGGAACTTGATTGGTTAGTGGGCTGCAGTTTGAAGCTCTAGAAGCTCTCGGCGTTGATCAATTCTTTAGAGATGCGTCATGCATTCGACTTCATTAAGCATCGTTTGGAGATGAGTGAATGCATATCCGTCCTTTAGAATGACTCGCAGTGGTCTACCGATACATCGAGCCAGTGCTGCCATCCTCCCGGAAAAGTTTGCTACCAATTTGCTGACCCCGGAGATGAAAGGCTTGGTGGGCTACGGGTACGGGAATCGATCCCGTTTGTGTTGCAGAACGCCTCTGACCACTGCGCCACACGCGCTCTTAGCACGCAGTTCTGAATGAACTTATCTCTTTCTTGCTATAGAATCCAAACAGGTAAACATTGCGATACACCAACGTGTAGTTCATTTGTTATGGATGCTGCTGAAGATGGGTGGAATGATTTGAAACATCAACAGCTAGTTAAGGCTGCTGCACTCGTGGTTTCTATTTCTCAAGCTGAGGGCAAACGAAAGGAGGTATAGTTCTTGTTGATCTTTAAGTAGGGCCACATAGGATTTGTCGTTGCTTCATTTCCAGAAAACATGAACATCGTAGAGGTAGAATTCGGCTCTGATGAACGGTGTACCGATCAAGTATGGACCACTTGTTGTTTTATTTAGAAGAGATTAGCTGTGTTAGCGTTTCTTACATGTGTTTATGCAAGTATTTCTCTAACTACTTATAATAACTGACTGACATTTCGGCAGTATCGTCTTCTTCAGAGCCTGGAAGAGCTCCTTCAGGCTCTGAAGAAGACGATGTTGCGGAAAGGTCAGCTCTAACGGAATAAAGGTAAAGTAAATTTCGTGTTTGCTCCATAGGAATACCAAGAACTATTTGTTCAATGCCGAGGTTAATAGAAAGTCGGTCGTGGGAATAACTGGGATCAATCCGTGCGATTCTGTGTGGTTATGTGTTCTTTCTAGTATTTTCTTCATGCTTTTTCGTTTGGGAATGAAAAGGGATGGTGTTGCTTGGAAACCTTAATCGCCTCCCTAAACCAAGTAGCGTGATACTCTTGAGTGTCAAACATTATCGTATGTGGTTGCAGGTGACAGATTTCCGTTGTTCGGATGTGAGGTGGTTTCATCGGAGGAGCGATGTTGATAAGTGGATAAACTTCAGCGGTATCGTACCAATAAATTCTTTCTTTGTTACTTTACTGACAGGCGTCTAAGTCGCGAAGTCATTTTCTTTTTAAGGAAGGGATTCTCTCCTTTTGGAGGCGAAATATCGGGCTGTGTTTGGAGTACCACTGGATGATCAGATGACAGTCGAGCTCTTAGAACGTGGCTTTACTTCTAGACAATCTGTTGTAGTGTTGGATGGCCTCTATAAGTATGTTTTTTTCGGTTGTGGGAACTGGAAAATCCTCTCGTTTCTACATTATTTCCACTTGTTGACCTTCTGAAATCCTTTACATGTGTTCCAGAATGTTTTGCTGATTTTAAACTGTCTTCTAGAGCAAATGATGATCTCACAAGAGTTGAAGCTATTTACTGGAAAGGCGATTCATGTGAAATACGAAGAGGCACATGGTATAGTCAGGTAATACTTTTGTTGGTTTTTCATCTTTGACGCTGCTAAGTTAAACTGTGTAAGTGGTCAGTTTATGGGCTAACAATGTGAGTTTTGAGGCTGACCAGTTTTTTTTTCAGGATTGGCAACCATTGGAACCACAAGTGGCAGATGCTATCGAAGCCCATCATTTGCAGTATTTCCGAGGCCAAACTATTCCAGAAGGGTTAACTGTTTTTTCAACTAAGGAAGCGAGTACCAAACCACGTTGGTTTTTCCTTTTTTTTTTTGACGTCGTGTCTTTGTGAACATTTTCACTTTTAGAGTTGACGGAGCTGCAACTGGAGGGAATGGAAATTCGGTGGAGTTCTGTGATTGACGTCTCTCTGTCTTTTAAACGAGGGGCTATTTTAAGGTGTTTTTGGTTTCAAAAAGCGAATATTTTTCGCATTTTAATTCAATAGTGTATCAAGTTTGGCGAAGAATATCTGCAGTTCGAGCCTTAAATTAAAAATTAATTCAGTTACCTCTGTTCAGATATATCGGTTGGGGAAAAAGTCAAGCTTTGCGCCGAGGGTTTCACAAAGAAGCGGAATGGACCGATGGTCCTCCTGAAACTAGTCATCTCATCCTTGTCGTGCACGGTATTGGACAAAAGGGATATGAAAACCTTATTGCAGAAAATGCGCAACAGTAAGTTACTTGCTTTGCCGTTTGTTCGTTCAGTTGCAATTGCTGGTTGTGTATTGGGATTTCTATTCCATTTACAGTATGTTTATTGTGAAATTTTGGTCAAATGCATCCCAGGCGCTGCGTGGTACGTAAACAGTTTCCATTTGCAAATTCGCAGGGTTCGTGATGGAGTGCTAAATGCGTTAGAACGATGTTATCCTGATGACAAGAAGGCTCGTCCAATGTTTCTCCCTGTTGAATGGCGATCCGCATTGAAACTTGGTACATTTCTTGGTTCTCATTTGATTTCATTTCTTTGTTGTTGCATACCTCCCAACGGTACCGCCTCATGGTAATTGAAAGGTGTTCCTGGGTTTTTGGGCTGCGGTGTGCAGCGGAAGGATTCATCCTCTGGCAGGTTCTCTCAAGATGAAAAGGAGTCCGGTATTTCCATCAGGAAGCCGAACTTAGAGTAAACCAATACCAGAATCTGCCACCATCCTGGTACCAAAGTGATCGCATAGTGGCAAAGCTTCCTCTGATCCACAAGGGCGGCGACTACTTGTGGTGGAGACGACCTGTGGCAGACTTTGGCCTGGCTGACCTCGTGGCTCCAGGGAACTACAATGGATAAACTAGCATAGCTTGCAAAAAAAGGAAGTTGTGCTGGAGTCCGCACAACCAGTGAGGAGAGGCTATTCAATTATCCAATTAAGTGTTGTTGCATATGTTGTAGAATAATTTTAGACGACGGAATCACTGATGTCATAACACTGCCGAAGATGAGTAGTATGCGGCACGCCCTGAATAGCACGGCCATGGATATTATGTATTATCAAAGCCCGCTTTATCGTAAAGAGGTACTATAACTCTTTCCTGGTTTGACTTTTTCGTTTACTCTTCTGTGTCACTCTTTACTTACTTCACTGGTTTCAGTAAATGTGTAATTCCAGATAGTGGGTGGTGTTGTTCGACAACTTAACCGTGTATATTCACTATTTGCCGAAAACAATCCAAATTTCTCTGGTCCTGTTTCTATATTCGCCCATTCACTGGGATCTGTTATAACCTACGACATCCTTTTGCATTGGTCTCCTTTTCTGCTTTACGAAAAATATGTAACACATGCGATGGTACGCAAGCTTTTCCCAAAAATTTCAGATTTTTTGTCCTTCGAAATAAATGCGAATCTAAGAATGTTTGGCTTTTGGCTCTGAAATCTCCAAATTTTTTAGCAGTGGTTTAGAGTACTGTAAAATAAGCGAATTGGAGAGCGTTTAAGCCGTAAATGACTCTTTTGCGGTTTTTTGTTTTATTGAGTATAATTTTTCCGATACTTCTCGTGCTAGGTTGATACTTTTCCTAAGGTAGCTGCTATAGCGGATGTAGTCTGAAAAAGCTACTTTCTGCGTTTATTAATTTACAAAAGAATCATTTTCCGGGTAAGTTTCTTAGTTTCGTTCGTTTCTGCTGAGGTAATGACTGTGACTGCTCCTGGTAATGAAGATCCCAAGGTGTCCGTGATATGGAGCAAAGCTTAAGATTTAGGGATACTTTTTCTCTACCTTAGGATAGTAAATCACTGAGTAGACTTATAGATGTAGTCGTAGTCTTCGAATAAAGGATAAAGCTCTGGGCGTTGAAACATAATCGCAGATATGTTGGAAGTTATTGTTATTAATCAAAAACCACTAAAAGCAATACAATACTGGTCCCCTGCCCCGTATGATTTTGTGATATGAATAAGGTCAGCGTTTTTGACTATTTTCCAATTAGTAATTTTATCGGTGTGGATGTTGTCAAGTTTTTTGAAGAAAGATCGTCTCATTGATGGTTGGAATGTGAAAACCTGACGCTGTAGAGTTTACCACCATAACACAACTGCTGACCCACTATCATAAGCCAAAATTGGTCTGTGGTTGCTGAAATCTTCCATTTGCCTGGTGTGTTTGCCGATTTTCCTGCAGTATTTCACTGGTGTAGTGGCAGTTTTGGAAACGTTGTTCCACATAATTTATTCTTCCAACTGCAAAGAAGTCAAACAAGTGCTACTTCGCTATACGTTTCGATACGTTTGCTTTACTTACTTACGTCTAAGCTTGAATTCGTTCAAAGAATTGCTCGAATTTCTTTTCTTTTTACTTGACCTGGTAAATCAGCTTCAAAAAATTGATATAAGGATGGCAGCTTTAAAATAAAAATATTAAAGGAAGTCTGGAAAGCTCTAACCTGAGTTGCAACACATAGTTTTGGATGGTTGTGACATAACACACTGAAGTGATCTAAGGGCGTACAAATGTTTGTTCAGCAGCAATCTAATGTTAACCCTTACGTAAAATAAGCAGTGACTTACTGCAGGTCTCAAGTATTTGTATTTATGCACCAAAAACATTTTAATATGGTCTCGTGATCTACAACAGTCTCTTAAGTACTCTATCTGAATGTTAAGTATGAGGAAGACGCCATCCTCGAGAACGTCATACGAACAGTAGAATGGGACAACATAGGAGTGAAAATCGATGGTCGGCGATTACACCATCCTCGCTTTGTGATGACATCGTCTTTATGGTGGTTGGAAGCGCCACTGTGACACACACGTGGAATCGATCCCAGCGCCCATGGCTTCCATCCCTCCGGAGTCGGCAAATTGGTACCAGACTTAACTGGGAGGATAGAAACACTGGCTGGATACATCGGTAGGCCACCGCGAGTCATTGTAAAGGCTAGGTATACATTCAGTCACCTCCAACGGTAATTAATGAAGTCGAATGCATGGTGCATCCCTCAGAGACTAATCAACGCGGAGAGCTTTTTCCTTTTATTTTTATCGTCCTTATAACACCAAACATTATCTAAGCGGAACGAATGCTTACCGACTTTGATAAATCTTGCGGAAAGCTTGGTTTCTGACCAAATCTCACAAAAACGATGTTCATGAAGAACGGGTTGATTTCGCATGCCCCATTCACGCTCAGCGGTACGAATAACTCCGAATGCTGCTATGTCTATCTCGGTCGGAAACTCAATATGATGAACGACCTATCTCCAGAGCTGAGCAGAAGAAAGCGAGTGGCTTGGAGAGCTTTCAAGAGCATCGAGGATGTAGTGAAGAGAACAAGGGACATCCTACTCCGTGCCCACCTTTTCGACTCAGCGGTACTTCCTGCCCTAACTTATGCGTCAGAAACCTGGTCGCTGCGTCAACGGGATAAAAGGTCACTCAGCGTTATCGAACGTGCAGTCGAAGGGACGGTGCCAAGAGTATCCCGTCCCACGCAAGTAAGGCATGAGATCCGATGCTCCGATCCGTGTCAACAATCAAAAATCTGAGATGCCGCTCTGTACGCCAAACTGTCGAAGATAAGGTGGGCCGAACCTGTAATGCGTATGAATGACAACCGATGGACAAGAGCCGTCAGTGACTGGATTCCTCGGGATGTCTAACGCACTGCAGGAAGACCACCGACCCGATGGGCAGAGTTCTTCACGAAGAAGCTTGAAGAAAGATATGTCAGATAAGATATGCCCGAGTCCTTAGAGTGAGGGAAACCCACTGGCCCTACTCTTGCACGCGACAGGGAAAATTGGATGATTTATTGGCACCGGTTCGAATCACTCGACGGTTAACGGGACGGCAGGCGATACAGGTGATGATGGGGCCCGTACACCCAGTGAGGATGGGGCGTCCAGGTATCCGAAGAAGTCGTAAGCATGTATTAGCGAAGCTTTTGTTTGCTTACACAACGTATTGCAGTAGAATCTAGAAGGAGAAGCAGTGCCTATTGTCTTGAATCTATAGTGAACATCTAAGGCTAACCAACCAGATTTCTTATATTTAGGACGCACATCTCGAAGAATGCACCGACCCCGACAATATTAATGTGTTGAAAGCTTTCCAAGAGGCTAGGGATCTGTAGGTTTCTGTGTTACAAATATCGATTTCTTTTTGCATTCAGTTTGAGTACCTGTTCAGCTTGTACAAGAAAATCGATGGTGGGATAAATAAAATGTTACAGCATAACGATGAACAACTCATGTTCAAGGTAACCCTTTGCTTATATTACTTAGTGTAAAAGTATATGTGTCTAACTTTAATGTCGGTTCAACAAAACATCCACTTATAACAGTTCACTATCTTACCTAATTCATATTTCCAGGTGAAGTACTTATTTGCTGTTGGAAGTCCTCTTGCAGTTTTTTTAGTAATGCGTGGAGCCACACATACTGATTTACTTCCAGATAAGATGAATGTTAGTGAAGTTGCGGTATAGAGATTTTTTCCTCTTAATGTTTTTATTAAAAAAGACTTTTATAGGTGGAACGCCTTTTCAACATATTTCATCCATATGACCCTGTTGCGTATCGACTGGAACCGTTGTTCACTCCCGAGTACCGGTACATTCGTCCTATAAAACTGTTCACAAGCAGTGACTTGCGCGGTATCACTTTCGTCTGGATATTCTAAATACATTATCGTTTGTAAGCTTGAACTAAACACTTTTTACTGCAAGATGAGTAACTTCTGTGCAAACCCTTATACTGGTTTATGGGAGGTTGTCTGTGAACTTTTCCAGCTCGTAACTCATACGAAGAATTGCCTTTGGAGGTCCACAAGAGTTATATGAAGAAGGTTAAGAATGAAAATAAATCGAAAAAGAGCAAAGTTGTAAGTTCACTTTTTTGTGTTGCCAAAGAGTATATATTACCAACCCCACGTGGTTTTTTCCACTTCTGTTCAGCAAACACGAGGTGCTATTCCACTTCCCCACTCACGTAAAAGCTGACGTTTCGGCGGATTTCGCCTTCCTCAGAGCCTGGAAAGGTCAAGTTGACAGCAACCTATTCGGCCAAACACCTTCATAACCAAACAGAGAAAACGCTAAACCAAGATTTCAATCACATTGAACAACAGCTCCGCACACTCACCGCTTTCTATGAGTCTTCCACTGAGTATGTCGTGTGAAGACCAACCGCACAGAATTCACATGGAAGCGTAATGTGCCCCTCCCATCAGAATAACAGGTTTATATACTGCCCTATATCACGCGTGATAATAAGGCATTCTTTCCTGCGGTTCATTTTCGGATTTCTGGAATTAATCCAGAACGCCTCGAGAGTTTTGTGCGCTTGTGTTCTCGATTCCTGTGCGAGGATCGTAACACTGTACTTCAAAGTCCTCTCCGTTATGTCTCTGGGTCCTATGCGGGCCTAGCGGGGTATTTGGTTTATGTTTTCCGGCTTGGTTATCTTTTATGCGGACACAGAGGGGTCTGCCCGTTTCGCCAATGTATTCGTCTCCGCACGCCTTACAGGAGATCAGATAAACTATACCTGAGCTCATGCAATTACCGTCTTTACCATTGGGGCAAATTATGCAATTTTGTGTTGCATATAGACGGTCATATAGTCGGTTACGAACAGAGTGGGGAAGTGGAATAGGACGTCGTGTTTGCTGAACAGAAGTGGAAAGGATTGTTCAATTAATGCCGAGGTTAATAGAAAGTCGGACGTGGGAGCTACTACAAGGTGTACCACCACGTGGTTTTGTTTTTCTTACATCGTTAATAAGTAAACAACTGAGCATTGTTTATTTCAGTGCAGTTTTGAGAGTTCACATGTAGGAGTGAAAAATCAGTCAAGGGTTCAGATCATTTCAAACTCGGTTTGGGCATTGTATCTTCATTTATGTTTTTAGCACTTCTAAACTGAGTAGTACCACGAGTGTGTCATTCATTCTTTTTGGTTCCACAATGTACTTCAAAATATAATTTTGTCGCATATTAAGTCCAAATTTGGAGTACTTAACGTAGTGCCTTCTACTTGTTCACCTTTGTCAGAACAGTGTTTTAGAATGACGCTCGTAGTGGAGGTGATGAAGACTTGGACGAAGAGGACGAGTGTGATTCGGATTTCGATGCAAAGAGTGGAGGTGGGTGTAAACCATTTCCATTTCTTTTAGTGATCTATTTGCACAGCAAATTTACTTGAAGAACGTCTGAAGCTTGAATACACGCACTTCTCAAGGCCTTATTTCTAAATCGGTTTTTGATTCTTAACCTGCTTTTAGTTAAATGTCTAGATAGACTCATTTCGTTCATTGTGGTAGCTCCAGTAGGGGAATCCGTTTCGTTTCTCATAGTCGTAATTTATGAACGAGGTTCGGTCTATCGGTGCTGACCTTCGTACGATTTTCTTCGTATGCGGCTGTGATTTCAAGACGTAATCAGTACTTGGCTACTTGGACGGCTCGTCCTCACTGGTTGTGCGGGCCCCAGCATAATCTCCAATTTCTCGGAGTTTTGTTGGTTTATCCAGTTTGCTTCCCTGGAATCCTGAGGTCAACCTGGCCAAAGTGTGCCCTGGGTCGTCACCACTGGAGGCGGTCGCCGGCCTTGTGGATCAGAGGGAGATTTGCCACCATGCGACCAGTATAGAGAAGACTAGGTTTGATACCAGGACGCTGATGAATCCTGGTATTCGTTTACTCTTAGCTGGGGTTTCGGATGGAAATATCGGGCTCGTTCTCAGCTTGGGAGACACTGCTGGAGGATGAATCTCCCAGTGTACATTGCAGCCCGATACCCAGGAACACCTTCGAGGTACGATGAGGAGATAAACCTTTGGAAGGAGTCGTAAACAATATCTTTCTTAATGCTGTCGTAAACAACCTCGCCGTACTGGTCTTCCTTTGGTCCACCACTTTTTACAATTTCAGTGGTTGCAAAACGATTAGTAGGTGGACCTTACATGTTATCACAATGCGGTGGTTGTTGTTAGCTGAAGTTTTAATAGTCTAGTTTTCGCTCATTTGACATTCTTGGTATATTTTTTGTTCCTAAAGACTTTTACCTAGGAAACGGAAGTTATAGGCTTTAAAGTGAAGGTTAGTATTCCTAGCATCTCTTACTCTCTCAGCGGCTTTATTTTGTTCGGAAATTAATTCCACCTTAAAGTACAGAAATTCATCCGTGTCACCTAAAAATCCGCCAACCATTGAGTTACGCGGATGGTCATTGGTGTTTTCTTTTGCTGCCGTGACGTGTAAGTACTGTTCAGCAGAACCCGTTTACACGAAAGGAACCGCACTGTTTGTACGGAACCCTTTCACTTGTTGTTTTTGATAGAGCGTGACTACGGATAGCCTCTGTGTTATTCTAGCATAGTTTTCCCCTTAGTTGTGTGTCTAGACTGAAATTTCGAAAGTGCTCGTGGATACCCTTTTCATATTACTGAGCGATACTCAACAACTTTAAACGGCCAGCCAAGGTATAAAGGTCAGGTATTGGATTACTATACATATTAGATGGAAGTAGAACCATAGGAGGAGTTTTTTCGACGGATCCTGGGCGTGTGACGCAGTCGTCAGATGCACCCAGCAATACACATTGAATCGATTCCCGCGCCCTTCCAAGCCTTCCATCCCTCCGGGGTCGACATATTGGTACCAGACTTGTCTGGGAAGACCGTAATATGACATGATACATTGTCAGGCCACTGCGAGTCATTGTATGGGCCAGATATGCATTCTTTCTTCTCTAACGGTGCTTGATGAAGTCCAATGCATGGCGCATCTCTCATGGATGTATCAACCTTGAGAGCTTAGTTTTTTCTTTTTTATCTGGTAAGGATATGCAGACGAGTGAAAAGCGGCACCTACATTTTTTTTTTTGTAGGACAGTTTTCAAGGTCCTATACTTCGAAGTTTTCTTTGGCTTAGTCAGAATTTCTCATTTTCGATTACATATGACGTCTCTATCTACTTAATCTCTGTCATCATCTGGATATAAACTGGATGGTGTCAATGCCGTTCTCTTCCGTGAAGAATACTCTGAAATTGTCTTGAAGAGGCAGAAAAGCTTGCAGGGTGTTTCGTAATTGTATGCCGCCTTCGTTGATGATCCTACCTCAAAGAACATTTTTCTTTGTCGAAATTGGTTTGAAGGATGACTTATGCACAATTTTTTGCGATTTAAAATGATACTTTCCTAAGGTGTTATTAAGTTGTTAAGAAATAAATAGGCGTTTTAACCTTGTTGTTTAAAATGTCGTAACTTGCTTCAAACAAAACTTTATTAATCAAGTAGGAAGAAAGAGCATAAAATGAGCTTTTTAACGATATATAATATTGCAAGTTACAGAGAATATTTCAAATAAATATAGGATAAAGCTCGGCGTCGATCAATCCCTGAGGGGTGCGCCATGCATTCAACTTCATTAAGCATCATTGGAGGTAACTGAATGCATATCTGGGCTTTAGAACGACTCGCAGTGGTTTACCGCTGTATCCAGTCAGTGCTGCTATCCTCCCAGACAAATCTGGTACTAATTTGCCGAACTCAAAGGTATGGAAGGCTTCGTGGGCCATAGGCGTGGGGATTGATTCCGTGTGTGAGTTGCAGGGCATCTCTGACCACTGTGTCACATGCGTCCCTTTATATTAAAGAATGCTTTATTGATAAAAAGTACATCAAAACAATAAATATTTTAGAGCACTCATTTATTTCTGAACAACCTAATATTTAGAATGCTGAAATTTATGTCCAATGAAATCATACTTAGGCTTTAGTGGGCTGTTTTTTTAAATTGAGTATTCTCGCAGTGTTTCATCATTGCACTATTTCAGCTCACCTGAATGTACCACTCGGCAAGTTTTTTAAAAGTCCTGTTAGTTTTGCTAGTGATTTTATAAGCCTTATTATGCATGTAGTTATTTGTTTTGATTTTTGTGTACATTGGTCAGTGGCGTCCTGGTGGACATTGTTTGGGAATGCTAGTGATTTCATATCTTCGATGTATCAGTTTAGCTTCATATTCTGTTCGCCGGTTTAGGTTCTTCGCCAAGGTGTCTCACGCCTCCTTTGGCAGGAGATGGGATTTCTGTTGAGAAACCAGCGAGGAAAGGATGGTTTTCATCATTCACATCCGCCCCAAAGAAATTTGCTCCTTCTGCAACTGTTCCAGAAGTTCCAGTTGAGATGGCTAAAGAAGCTGAAGTGAGGGGAATATTTCTAATAGAGATATGTCGATTTGAAATTGTAATTAGGAGTTTGTTCCAGTCAGAACTTCCATTGCCCGAACGCTTGCTGGGTGGAGGAGTTCGACCACCGCATCGAATTGATTTTCAATTGCAGGTAGGACTTCCGTTACGGATGGAATTATTTTTAAACAAAAGTTTTTTTTCAGCCTGCTTTGACAGACAAAAGCTACTGGTCGGTGCTGAAAAGCCACTTCAGTTATTGGACAAATTCTGACCTCGCATTGTTTGTGGCTAATATTCTTCATTTTGAGTCGCTTATCGACCAACAGTCAGGTCCCAACAAAGAGCTCTTGAGTCAAGGTTGTGCTTAACTTTAATGGTAAATAATATGGGTGCGGTAACATATATATATATATTCATATACATGTGTACATGTATATATATATATATATACATATATGTATACATGTATATATACATATGCATACGAAGTGATTATTAACAAAATTAACGTAGTGTTTGACTACACTGTATATATTTCTACCATGTGAAAGCGCTATTCTGTTGTCGCTTTACATCTGTTGGTTGTCTTTCCTTAGATTTTTATTTCGTTTTTCAAAAATCGTCCAGTTTTTGTCACTTGGGAATCGTGTGGCCTACGATGTTGTGTAAAGCATGGTTAAAGTTGGTTACTGTTAGCGTTCGTATTATCCTTAGTATAGACTATCGAACGTACCGTTGTTATTTGTTGCTAAATCACTTCTCTGCTTACAGTCTGTCTAGTCACATAAGCTAGGTTCCGGCTTCTCGCCTTTGATGTTATAGTAGCTTGGCCTAGCAATTCACGGTTAGATAATTTAGATCTTAATATCACATTCTAGTTCTATGAAGATGATGAAGCACGTAGTATTATTGCAGCTGAATTCTTCGAGTATGTGTTTTTGTGCCTATTGTATGTTAAAAATTGAAATAAGGATCATTCTGTTCTCATTTTCTCATCAGATATGAAAACTGCATGTTTGGTTGTAAGTGATTTACTGTAGAAAAGTGTGAAAGCTCTTTTGTGCAATAATAAAACAACTGACGAGTTAGTTTGTAAACGCAGGTTGATGCAGTTTATGCTGTTAACACGCTTATGGTTGGTACATGTCGGCAACATTGAGAAGCTTGGGGATACTTACCTTAGTCACCTGGCTTTATTGGCTGTTCGTCTGTCTTCATTCTGTGGGCTGGTATTGTTATGGGTTCCGCAAGCGTTTACACGGAGGATGTAGGTTAGTGTGCTTTGCGAACTAACTAACAATCAAGAAACCTTAATGTGTTGTACTCCGTGATACGTCGCTGTTCCCCGCCCTGGTGCCATGAAGCCTACTGTCGCTCCGCGCTTGGGAAGTAGGCATGGGACCTGCATGGGATTAGCCTAATTCTAATCCTCCCGAGAATGCCTTAACACGGCTATTTGAGAATTCGAAGGAGAACCTACTCGACTAGCATCCTACCACAATCATAAACAAGACGAAGTCCTCAAACAGTAGCGGAAACAACTCGCAAAATGGTCGAAGACCTCCATGGGCGATGAATGCGAGGAAGATGAATGGAATGCGGGAAGTGCTAAGATCTGCCTGGTATATGGTGACGGGTTATGTAAAAAAGTGAAGAAGAATGCAATTTTCAGTACTTTACCAGCAGCATTGTTTTTTCATTTCCATTTGTTACCATGGATCATGATTATCCTAAGGAATAGTCGTTTGCAAGAAATACCGAAGTAATTCTTTCTACGTCTGTTTTGCAAACACGAGGTGTTACTTTATTTCTTTATTTACTTTATTTACACGCTTCTGTTCTCGGTTCCTGCTCGAGGATCGTAACCTCTACTTCAAAATCTCTGTTATGTCTCTGCGTCCTATGCTTGCCTAGTGGAGTATTCGGTTTACGTTTGCCGACTAGGTATTTATTATTCAATCAATGCCGAGGTTAATAGAAAGTCGGACGTAGGAGTTAATACCGAAATATTTTCAACATAAATAGCAAAGTTCTCCTAAACGTTAGCAATGCATTTGATTGACAGATGTAATTGACTAAAGTGTAGCATATAGTCTATGAGAGGAGGAGGAAGAGGATGCAGTGTGGTGAAAGTATAGTTCAGTTGCTGCGCAACGAGAAGTTAGGAGGAGATGGTGGGATAACAGCATAGTTCAGGTGGTTGTGTTAAATTAGAAACTTTTCCAGTCATGTGTGAATGACGAAGTGAGTAATATCAAGTAGACACCAGATGAAGGCGCCTCAGATCTGTCGATGGAAGTTCAAATAATTCGTGGAAGAGAAGTGGAAAGTGGGGCACCGGTTCTATGGTGAAGCGACGACGTCATTCTGGCGTTTCTTCAAAAACACTCAACTTTGCTCGAACGATTGTTCCTCAGTAAACGTTGAGTAGTACCGATTCTGAACGAAACCTGCGCTGCATACGCTGATTCTCAAATTGTTGTTTAATCTCTAGTAGTACTTGAACATAAGAACAAATGAAATGGTTACACAAAAATATTATGTAGAGTTGCAGTCATCTGAGAAGAAATTAAAAATTGCTGTGATTAACCACTCGATAGAAGTACCGAAAGTAAAATGATTGGCTTCGTACAGTCAGAAATGGATCGTGATCATCTAATTACAACAGATTATCTTGATTTAAGACAGGAAACAAAAACTTGAAAAAAACGTTAAAGTATTGACGTAGGAGAAATCTGAGGAAGAAGGCGAGTGATAACATGAGAGAGGATGACCAATGGAGATACGAACTAATGACAAATAAAGTGCTGTTTAGGAAAAAACTGTTGAGATCTCAAACGAATGAAGATAAAACGGAGGAATCTCTAGCACTTATTCCTTATATACATTTTTCTATTTCTTATTCTTCTGTATGGAACTCTTCCCAGACCAACTAGGTGGAATTCTTGGAGTTGGCAAATTGGTAGCAGAGATTTGAGCAAGAGTTTCTCAAATCCAAAACAATAGCAAGTGCCTGCGGTGGAGAACTAAGGACTCACTAGCACGGCTACCACAGGATTTCAGGGAGAATCTACATGACCAGCACTCGACGATACCCATAAAGCGAAGCTAGAATCATCAGGCAGATGCCGAACCCGCGCAGAAATCCGAAGTTCTTCATGGGTGATGAATGCGAGGAAATGAATGGTATAAGCGAAATGCCGGGATCCATAGTCAAAAAATACTAAGTGAATGTCTTCTCATGTACGAGGTGGGAAGATTATAGAACGATTATTTTGAATACTCTTAGGTTAAAAAAAATACCTTTATTGTGTTGCTCTGTGTTGAGCAGAATATCTAATAAATGCTGAACAACACCTGTATGTTAGGTTAACTGGATTGGCTAGCAAAATTCCATGCCGAAGTGGCTGATAATTTCAATTTGTCTTCTAGATTTTTTGTTTGGCTTACCACAAAACGCCCATGATTCGCAGCGTTTTTCAACTTCATATTTTGAGTTTTTAAGAAAGAAAAATGTGAAGGACGTTGCACTAGATGAACGCCTGCTCGGTTCACAACAGAACTTAACTCTTCTTAAGGAGCTTGTAGCGCTGTATTCAGAGGTGCCCAGCAATACACGCATGGTCGATAGATCGGTCCCGTTCTCCGAGCCCACCAGGGCTTCCATCCCTCTGTGGTAGACAAATTGGCGCCAGACTTATCTGGTAGGATAGAAGCACGGACTTGGTATTTTGGTAGGCCACAGCAAGTTGTTGTGCAGGCCAGAGAGATATGCATTCAATGACCTCTAACGATAATTGGAGAAGTCGAATGTGTAGCACATCCATTAGAGATTCATAAATGCTCCTATAGTTTCTCACTTTGACGAACTTCCACGTAACTGCTCAATATGCTGTTGGTGTGGGAATATGGTTGTGGCTGGATAAGTTGTATTGATCGAGTAGCCACTTAAACTTAACCTTGTTCCATTTTGTCGCAAGAATAACTGGCTTTGGCATGTGTATGTCAAATATTACATTTCTCTGACATATCTCATTAAAATATTTTATGATATGATATTAGGGTGCGTGTGACGCAGCTGTCGGAGGCACCCTAAACACATACATAGAATCGATCCTAGCGCCCATGGCCTAGCAAGCCTTCCATCCCTCCGGGGTCGGAAAATTGGGACCAGACTTGCCTGAGAGGCACTGACTCGATACATCGATTGGCTACCGTGAGTTATTGTAAAGGCCATATATGAATTCAACCACCTCCGAACGATGCTTAATGAAGTCGAATGCATGACGCATCCCTCAGGTATTGATCAACGCCGAGAGCTTTATCGTTTTATCCTTTTTATGATATGATTTCAAAATTTTCCAAGCGTTCTATTGATTTCCCACATCCAACGATTAATGAACCCTTCTCTGACGGAAAATCTCTTGCTGTTGTATAATTTTTTAAATTTTGATATAATCCAGTATAGTAGTGTTTATTTGAAATGCAGACTTCATGGTTCCACTTGAAAAAAATTCCGCATGTTGTTTTGAGTGCCGCCTGAGGATTTTCTTTTCTTCAAGAATGCCGTCCATGAATCTACCTCATAAAGGGATCTCATGCACATTAGTCGTGAGGCAAGGTAGCACGCCTATAGTTGGGGAAAGGGGGTTAATGGTGCACCTAAAGCGACCTTTTCTTTCCTGAGACGCAAGTGAACCCCGAGAATGGAGTCTCCGTTTCCGTTGTGCCAATTTGACACATACTTTCTGCATTTACAAGAGCGTATTCATGCATGTGTGCGTAGGCGTGTCCTCGTTTGCGCGAATTTTATTCCATGAGTCAACTCGGTCGAACGCCATCAATCAAGCGAATATGAAGTACATGGGAGAGGAAAAGGAGTCTCCTCTAACAAATAAGCTCCTCCATCTACTTTGGGGGAGACGTGCAAGCTACCTGAGTATACTCAGCGATCACGTCCATAGCTTAGCAAAATATACGTGGGTATCAAACGTTAGACACAGTAAAATAAATGGACGTCATTCATCGGACTGGCCTAGACGAAATGACGGCAGCCATTCAAAGCGGTCTATGACACCGGAGAAGAACTGTTCTTCGGAACATGCGACAGTAAAGGAGTCCGCGGCGTCGGCGTACTCGTCAACACGAGTTTGGCCATGAACATCATCCATATGAAAAACTAACAAGCCGATTCTTACGTCTATGATTGAAGAGATGTGAACAAATACTGGCTTTGACAATCTCCTTCATCTATACATCGACATCAAGTTATGACGAAGACGTGGTCAAAGAGTTCTATGTGGGCTTGAAAGAGTTTTTATGGAAGGGACCATACATTCTGCAGTGTTCACTGGAGATTTTAGCGCAA